ATTGCACAGGACTGGTGTTCTGGGAGCACGAAGATCACGAAGTGACCCACAGTTGGCTCCGGGCAATCAAAATATGGTACAGGAATGGTGCTCTGGGAGCACGAAGAACACGACGTGGCCTACAGTTGGCTCCGGGCATTCAAGATGTGGCCTGGGAGTGGTGTTCTGGAAACACGAAGAACACGAAGTGGCCTACAGTTGGCTCCGAGCATTCAAAATGTGGCCTGGGAATGGTGTTCTGGGAAGACGAAGAACACGCAGTGGCTCACAGTTGGCTCCTGGCATTCAAAGTGTGGCTTTGGAATGGTGCTCTGGGAACACGAGGAACACGAAGTGGCCTACAGTTGGCTCCGGGCATTCAAACTGTGGCCTGGGAGTGGTGTTGCGGGGAGTCCCCGGACCCTCCCCGGCACCCGCCCAAACCCCCATGGGAAGTCCCGGGGAGCCCCGGATTCTCCCCGGCATCCGCCCTGACCCCCCTGGGGAGTCAAGATGTTTTCTTTTGAGCCCATTAGAAACCCATCAGTTTTCGCTGTTGGGTAACAAGCAGATCTCGGAGGACGAGTCCCAGCAGCTTTACGCAGAACACGAAGGCCGGCTGGACCTCGAGGGGCTTGAGCTAGAGCGTGAGGAGTTGACCTACATGGGTCTCCTCTCTAACGGGAGGCGCCGTCTCCTCATGTGGACGGACAAGTTCATCAACGAAAACCTGAGGGCGATTTCCCATCTTTGTGCTCGCTATGTTGACGAACTCCACAACAACGGACCAGTACTCCCGCGCCAACGACTCGGTCGAACTCTGATCAGCGACCGATTGTCCGCATGCGCAGACTGCGTGGCCGACCCGCCCCTGGAGTATATCAGACGGCTGGGTCCAATCGAGCGCACCAGGGTGGGGAGCTATCTCAGGGCCCGATATAGCACAATCGAGAGCACCAACTTACCTGGCCCAGACCATGATCTGGTGCCAATGTATCCACATATGCGTTCCAAGCTCTACGCCATCGCGAGTGAGCTGGGACGGGACGAAGCTCTACGATTGGGAGGGTTGGTAATCCACCTGCTCCGCCACAGCTCAGCCCATGTGCTGGGCTCGGGAGGATGGGCGGAGGTCGACGTGTTGATACGAATGTTAACGCACGTCGGCTACGACCGCCCGTGGTCCAGATTCCTGCGCGCCATGTCGATGCTTAACCTGAAGGACATTCGAATGCTTGGAGTTGAAATGGACTCGGCAGGTGATGGCCCGACATTCCGTCCCATGGACTGGGATAGCAGCTTTGCTGAGGTCGTCCTCAAAGGGGTTGGAGCATCGGAAACTGCTGGCGACCCGGATACGGCCCTCGCCGACAGCGACGATGGGCAAATCTTCGTGGTCCCTGCTGTTCGCCCACTTCTCGTCAGAGTCGTACACGGTGACTCTTTGAGAGTCATTAGCCCGTACAGGCGCAATGTACGGTACGAGCCGAACATGAGCGAGAAGCACGGGGCGCTCCCATTGCCGATGAATGCTGCAGATGTACGGCATAGTCAGAGCGGCACTGCGGCTCCGCTGAATGATGAAGCAACGGGACTGCGTCAGTGCGGGACCGTGGCCTTCACCGTCGCCCTTTCACCACGCGCGACGAAGATCCATGATCTGAGCGCGCTGGAAGAGGTATACGAGCCCCTGTGCTATCAAAGGCTCAGGAACTTGTTGATCGATATGATCGGAAGATACGTTCTGAATTGGATGGCAACTTTCCAGCGTTCCTCCACCAGAACGGCATGTCGAGGGACTTCATTGGCAGCACCAATATGTCCGTCCTTGATTTTGATCCTAACACCATCGAGGGAATATACCTAGCAACCCTGAGCTCAAGGCATGTTGAGGCCTATCCGCATTGGATTCTGCCATCGGGCCAAATATTCACACATCGAACTCCTCAATGGAAAGATGTCTGGCAAATCTTTGCGGTGACGGGGGCCCCGAACGATGTATGCACGTGGCGCGTCATTTACGACCGGCGCCTGACCATGCTGCAGGTCTTCCCTGTCAACTACACGGGGTGCGTTGACTTCCTGGAGCCGGGTCAGCGAATCATGAGCGGCGTCCACGAGGATAGGCTGGACGTCGTCCTGTGGCAGGGCGTCAGGGAGCCCCCCACATGGCAAGATAACGTGTGCCTCGTCTGTAGTCTGGGACACAAGACCCGCTACGGCATGACGGCATGCGCCGTGTGTCACGATGAAATCCTCTACGAGGCGGCCCAGTGGCAGCCCAATAAGTTAAATAAGCTCCACCCTGCAGTGGACTGGAGACATGTGGGGACGTGAAAACAGAGGCCTCCGCACCCTACTGCGACGTTCCATGAGCGCGGCGGTTGGGTGAGCAGACAGAAGCCAAGAGCGATCCAGATACAGAACTCCGATAGAACTCAGGGTCGCTGGTAAGAACATTTGAAAAATACAATCCGAAGGCAGCGTTGGACTCGATACTACTCTGCAGTGGCGGGAAACACGGCTACCCTCTCATCGGAAAGGTCAGCATTCGCCTGGGACCCGTCGTCACCGACGGACAAGCAGCGCCCTGCCCATGGCAATAAGGCGCGTGAAGTGACAGGACATAAGCTGACACGCAGATGGATGCTCTACCAGGAGCACTGCAACCAGCGGCCTACCGGCTATAATGCCACATGCCCGTCGTGGAAGTGGTGGGCGTACCTGTCCAGGCGGGTTGACTTGACCGACTTGGGCACGGACATGGGGATCCTCAACATCTTTGACTGGGACACCGGGGACCCTGCCTTCCGTGGGACGTTCGTTCCCAGCGTGGGATGGGAGGCCTGGTGCCACGAAAACCACCACAATCTGCCGCAAACAATATGGGCACTTCGGGGTTCGATCCAAGAGGATATTGACTGCCATTGGAAACCATAGGAGGACCTGGCTGCGTTCGAGGAGGAATATAGAGATGAAGAAGACACTATCCAGGGGGTAAGAGTCAATCGTCCAGCCTCGGTCAGGCCACCTGCTGCTGCCCGTGACAAGCGCGGCAGATCCCACCGCCGCACAAGGCGCGTGCAATCGGGAGACGCGCCCAAGGCATTTGGTGCACGCGCCATGCGCAAGCGAGGTAAGCCCTTTGCTCCAGAGCGCAGTGTCCACAATGCAGAATATATGATACCTCGTAATGCTTACAGCATTACGAGGGCGGCCGAGGAACTCGTCACGTACTTTGCCGCCGCAGATGAACCGGAGGAAAATCATCAAGCAGTAGACGAGCCTACCCGTGAGGCGAAGATCCGTGGGATGTGGTCTGGCCCGCCAGAATCCCCTGTCTACGATCCCGACTTACACTCGACGAAGATGGGGTGGATGTCGGAGCAGATCTGCAGAGTTGCCATCGAGCGCCCCAAGGACTTCATATGGACCGAGATCGACACGGAGGCTGCAAATGAGTACGCCATGCGTACTCATCTTGCGGAGGTCGGACGGTGCCGAGCAAGTTTGCTATATGAAGCTCACCTTCTCATGGCTCCTCGCGATATGCTGGACCTGGTCTACCGTGACATGTACCAGCATCGGGCTGATAGCCAGTCTCAATTTGCGCCCAAAGGATTGAGGCATGCATGCAGCATCTGCAGCAGTCGGAAGCGAAGGCGCTCAGGCGCGGACTGCGACTGACGCCAGACACTTTCCAGCGCGCCGCAGTTGAGCGGTGGTCGCCGCATTTATACGAGGCTGCAGTATATGCTCTCAACATGGAGTAGCGGCGCTAGAGCCTGAACAAGAGCGCCCCACCTCTCGGTTGCCCATGGCGCGAGAGGATCTGGGAAATCAGCCGAAGACGACGACCGCCAGGTCGGGGCGCTCTGCCAGCCGCAAACGCGCCCTCAGCCGCCCATCGTTGCAGGATGACAGGGCGACTGCCTCATCGCGGACCTGGGTTCGGCAAAGGGGGCGCCCCGCGTCGCGCGGCCCCGCCGCCCCCCAGAAGCCGCAGAGACAAGCAAGGGCAAACGTGCCCGCGCAGAGGCGGGTGACCGCGCAGCGTCCCCGCCTTCGGTGAAGGCGCGGCCGTGCCGCTATACGAACCTGCGCGAGTCGACCCGAAGCGGCGCAGTTTCATCCAGACCACAGCGCACCCTGCAGACCGCGCCTGGATTGCGTGGAGGGGCTCCTCCAGCCTGGCCGGGAGTAAGGGAGCGGGCAAAAGCGACCGCGGCAAAGGCGGTCGCGACAGCTGGGGCGATCGCCGCGGCGACGCCAGGGACAGGCCACGGCGACGCGGCAACGGATGGAACTCGTGATAGCACCAGAAGCCCATGGCGAGATGGTGGTTAAACCGGTATAAGTACCATAAGCCCATGGCGAAATGGTGGCTTCAATGTGGCGAGCTGGGCTGCTGATGGCCGCGTGAGCCTCGCGCCCGGGCCCGCCCGAATTCGGCGCCGTCGGAGACGTCGGGCCCCGATGGTGCTACGTCGGCCCTGGCCGGCTACTGCGGCCGGGCCGCCGCGGGGGGAGTCGTCACCATGCGCTCCTTGCCGCCTATATGCACTGCCTTGAACAACGTGTTAACTAATCCACAGCTGTTTGGCACTAGAGAGGGAAAGCGCGCGCCACTGCATTCTCCTTTCTCCCAATCCGCTTAACGGACAGTCGTGCCTCATACTTTGACGGCTGCCGCCGCTCGCATTGCCGCCATCGTATTTCGGGGATCCTCGAGCCCAAGACGCTCCTTGGAACCAGTGCTAGGAGTACCACACTTACCACCTGTGCATCCTGATCAGATTGGACTTGTTTTGCTTAAGTTGGGTGAATATGTAATTAGAGGCAGAAGAAGACGAACGCGATCACGAATAACAGGAATAATATACATAATGGATGGATGGACTAATAATGATCATATGTGTATAAGTCAGTTTGTATGAGTATTCGCGTGAATAAGAACAAGAAGAGGGGGGTCGAGGAAGAGGAGAGGAGGCGGGGGAACAGTCCGTCGCGACCTTCCGCAGGTCGTCGGGTTTGCCGAGGCCCCGCAGGCTGGGGACCAGTGGCAGGCCGCGCCCCCCGTTGCGGCCCTTTCGCTCTGATCTGCCAACGGGGTCCCCGCTGTGTCTGGCGCGGGCGGGGGCCCGACTCGATGATCTGGAGGATGCGTGCTGGCCAAATGTGTGATTATCCCGTTCAGCTCCACCGATCGCACGCAGCTTGTGTATGACCTCATCACACCGCCTGCGTTGTATTGAAGAGCTTCGGCGGACAACCACACGTTGGCGCTAACACGCGTTCAGAGGATCATCGGCCGACGTCTCCCCCCCGAGGAAGGCCGGGGGGCTGGGGGCGCCCACAAGAGGGACATGTTTCAGGGGTGGTCCTCAACCTCTGACAGCCATTCATCGCGATCGGAGCCTGAGTGCCCTTCCTTGCCCTGGAACGTGCGGTTCCGCTGGTTGGAGTCAATCGCGGATGAGTCGGAGGTGTATGACCGATTTCAGGTCATTGTTCGCCCCCGTCAGCCAGTCCCCCCCTGTCGCCCACCCATCAAGAGAGGAGGATGACAACGATAGGGATTAGAGCAAACCCACCATGCACCAGGGATGCTGCAATACGCTTCTCGTCCCTAGCCCCCATCCCCCGTCTCCAAACACAGGTACCCAAAAAACCAAAAATCGTCGAACACCCCACTGGAGAAGAGGAGGGCCCTGTTGGACCTACATGGCGATAGCCATACGCGCGCGTTTCGAAGGGATCACCCTTTGACGTGACGTGGATGTAGCCACATAGGAATAGGATTACAACCCGCAAGAAGTGTGAGAGGGGATTCGCCTTTAATTTGCGTGGCTGGTATGAGCTCTCAGGGACATGTGCGCGACGCAGGACCGAGATCACAATGCTGACACTGATCCGCCCTCCATTTTTGCAGCTGCTCTGAACTTCCAGCTTCCACAATCGCAAGGTGGGAAAATCCAACGCGGCAGCTCGATTTCGAGAAATATCATTTTGCTAGAAATTCCAAGCTGTATGGAAGCACGCGCTGTGAGAAATTCCAAGCTGTAAGCAAGCCGAGCTGTGAGGAAGCTGACGCTGTTCCAAGCCGAAGCTGTCAGTTTGTATTCAGGGGCACATGCTGTACGGAAGCCTGACGCGAGAGCCAGATGCTGGAAGTGGTCATCAGTCCACTTGCTCATCAGTCGGGCACGTCAATGACGGTGGTCACAGCGTTCGCAGGCGAGAGCCACAATTCGAGAAGGAACCGCCCTCCACGCATGCAGCTTCTGTTTTGTCTTCAGAGTTTGTCTGAATCGGACTCTGGGACGTCTCAGGCGATAGCCGCATTTTGAAAACGGATCGTCCTTCTTCATTGAATTTGTTGGGAACTCCTAAGACGATCGTGCACGGCGCCAAGGCGATAAGCGTAGCCTGAAACCGGGCCGGCTTTCATCCGTGCAGCTGTCGGGGATGTTCAAGACGAAGGTGCGGCGCGTGAAGGCGCATTTGGCATTTTGATTATGGGCTTGACTTCGCAGTTCGAGCCGTCAAAGACGTGGACAAATGGGTGTCTTCCTCCCGCATGTGCTGGAACTTGCAATCGCTGGGGGCCAAATAGTGCAAGGATGTCGTATGCGGAACACCCAGGCCGCTCTACCGTCGCGTCTGGAGGTCGCGACGAGGAGGAGTTGTTTACCAGGAAGACTGGTTGAGGGAGACTGACGGAGGACGATGAGAACAGGAGGATGAGGAGGACGAGGAGGAGGAAGAGGAGGAGGTGCAAGGTTTCATGCGAAGATTCGGTGTTGAAAGGGCATGTGCACGGGGGCTCAGTCCCTTGCTTTCCGTAAGGCCTTGGGCCTAGGGGGCGGAGGAGGCCTTCCTCGGCTGCCTCCAACCACGCCTCCCCCATCCCCCTCCTCCCTCCCCCCTCCTCCTCCTCCGCCATCGGTGCCACCACTTCGACGACCGCTGAGGAGGAGGAGCAGGAGGGGGGTGGATGAGGAGGGACATGAACAGGGGGACGAGGAGGATGGGGGATGATGATGATGATGATGATGATGATGACGATGACGATGATGATGATGATGATGATGATGATGCTGATGATAATGATGATGATGGTGATGATGATGATGGTGCTGGTGTTGATGCTGGTTATGATGCTGCTGACGATGTTGATGACGATGATGATGCTGATGATGATGAGGATGAGGGTGATGATGAAGACAGGGATGTGGATACGATGAGATGATGATGGGGACGATCATAATCATGATGATGATGAGGCTGATGACAATGATGACAATGATGATGCCGATGCCGATGGTGATGATTATGTTGGTGATGGTGATGTTGATCATAATGACGATGATGGCGATGACGATGGCGATGATGATGATGATGATGACGACGATGCTGCTGATGACGATGATGCTGACCTTATGTCGATGATGATGCTGCTGCTGATGCTGCTGACGATGACGATGACTATGATGATGACGATGCTGATGATGATGATGATGCTGATGTCGATGATGAGGATGACGATACTGATGACGATGTTGCTGCTGATGTGGATGCTGCTAGTGATGATGAGTTCGATTGGGGATGATGATGATGATGCTGCGGCTTATGATGATGCTGATGCTGATGCTTACGATGATGGTGATGATGGTGATGATGATGATGATGATGATGATTATGATCCTGCTGCTGATGGTGACGATGATTATGATAATGAGGATGATGATGGAGATAATGCTGAGAATGAGAATGCGGTGCTGTTGATTAGCATGATGATGCTGCTGATGATGGTTCTCACGACGATGCTGAAGATGACGATGACGATGCCGATCACGATGATGAGGATGCTGCTGATGCTGATGATGTTGATGGCGGTGATGATGATGAAGGTGATGCTGACGATGATGATGTGGATATGCATTGGGATGCGGACGCTGATGTGGATAAGGATAGCATGATGTCGCTGATGCTGTTGATGATGATTGCGGTGACGATGACGATGCTGATTGTGATGATGATGCGGATGAGGATGTTGATGGTGATGATGATGATGATGATGATGATGATGATGATGAATAATATGATATTTATGATGATGACGATGATGGTGATAAGGAGGGTAATGATGAAGATGTAGATGAGGATACGAATGGGTTGATGACGATGCTGACGATGCTGATGATGAGGACGATGATGCTGATGATGACGATGACGATGCTGATGATTCTGATGATGATGATTATGATGATGGTGACTCTGTCGATGACGAGGCCGATGATGATGATGATGATGATGATGATGATGATGATGACGATGTCGATGATGATAACGACGGTCACACGATGATAAGGATGATGTTGGTGTTGACGATGGATCCGATGACGAGGATGATGACGATGACGATGACGATACTGATTATGATGATGATGATGCTGATTCTGCTGATTCTGCTGATTCTGCTGATGATGATGATGACGATGCTGACGACGATGCAGATGATGATAATGACGATGATGATGGAGGTGCTGATGATGCTGATGTTGATGGCGAAGACGATGATGATGATGATGATGATGATGACTCTGATGCTGCTGCTGATGATGATGGAGAATCTTGGTGATCATGATGCTGCTGCTGCTGATGATGATGATGACAATTATGTTGAGGATTAGGATGAGAATGATGAAGATGAGGAGTAGAAAAAATACGCGATGCTGATGATGATAAGAATGTCGATGATGATGCGGACGCTGATGACGATGCGGATGCTGATCATCATCATGTCCATGACGATGACGACGACCATGATTAAGATTGTGATGATGACGATAACGACGATGATGATGACAATAATGCTGGTGATGACGATGATGCTGATGGTAATGATGACGACAGCGACGATGCTGATGACGACGACGGCAATGATGCTGATGATGATGACGGTGACGACGACGACCACGATGATGACGATGATGATGTTGACGACGACGACGACGATGATGATGATGATAATGATGATGATTCTGATGATGATGATGGTGACGGTGATGCTAACGATGATGATGATGATGATGATGATCTTAAGATGATGATCACGACAGTGATGACGCTGATGATGATGGCGATGACGATGATGATGATGATGACGATGACAACGATGACGATGATTGTGATGGCGGGTGTTTGACGATGATGGTGATCATGGCGATGACGAAGCTGACGACGATGATGATGATGATGATGGTGGTTGTGGTGGTGATGATGATGATGATGATGGCGATGACGCTGAAACCGATGACGATGCCGATGACGATGCCGATGATGATGCGGATGATGATGATGCCGGACGCTGGCTTCGTTGAGGCTTTTCTGGCGCAGCTCGCCAACATGTCGTTTATCATTGTTGGCCTCTCGGCCAGTTATGCCGGGCTCCCCGTCCCCGCAGATGGTCTGTGACTACTGGGACACGCCGATGCTGAAAGGGGAGGCCGGCAAGATGGTTGAACACATCCAGTTCATCGAGCCACCAGTCCGCGTGATCATGTAGGGCTCCTTGGGACCGCGGATCGTGGAGCAGCAACTTGCTCTAATAACTTATGGGGCAGGCTCGGGAGTTACCGAAACACTCTGTATTACAGTGGGCCGCCGACCCCTCCAACCTCACCTCCACAGCAGCTCTGGTGGTCGACTTCCCAGGGGAGATCACGGATGACATCGTCAATACTTTGGCCACGGCTCAACTCAGCGTTGTGCGGGGATGGAGCCGTCCTATGCCCAGTGTGGATTCTAAAGACAATCGTACACGTTTATTGAATCGCTTCGCTCATTCCGCCGGCCCATTTCGCATGACTGAGCCTCTTGGGACCGCTGGGGGGCCTCTTCAGCGTCGCTTGGGGGCTTCCTGAGGGCCTTTTGGAGGCTTTTGGGGCCTCTCAGGGGCCTCTTGAGGCCTCCTGGGGGCTTCTTGAGGCCGAGGGCTCGACGTTTTGTTTTGTGTTCCCCCTTTGGGGTATCGCTTGGTGCCCTCTTGGGCCCCTCTTGGGCCGTCTTGCGGCCGTCTTGGAGCCCTCTTGGGCCATCTTGGGGCCGTCTTGGGAGCTTCTTGGGCCCTCTTGGGGCGATCTTGGGGGCCTCTTCGGCTGTCTTGGGGCGTCGGGAAGCCGAAAAGATGGACACGCCAAAATCTGCCCACAACCTAAGGACAAGTCAGGATTTTTGCCTCTTGGGGCCCTCTGGGGAGTGCTCTTGAAGGCCTCTTGGGGCGTCTGGGGGCCATCTTGGGTGTCTTGGAACGATCGTGTGGCATCTCGGAGCACTCTTGAACCATCTTGGAGGGCTCTTGGCGGCCTCGTGGCCCTTCTTGGGGCCCTCTGGAGGGCCACGGGAGCGGCGCCCAGGAGGAAAACCATCTCTGACCCGAGTCTGCCGGGGATCGCCCGGGGTACTTTTCGTCCGGAGACCCCCAGGGGCCGCCCCGCGCGCGCGAAGTAAAAGTATTATTTAGCAGTTACCGGAGATCTTAGCACGCCTCTGGCCCGTTGGGCCGGCGAATTTGGATACATTGGGACAGCGACCGAACTTCCCGCACTTGAGATTGCACTGGTCGTCCGACGGGTCCGGCAGCTAGTGGAGCCGTATCCGCAGGTAGTGGTGGGGCACACGACGATGCTGGAGGACCCGGCAGCCTTGATCGTCGATTACACGAACACGGCAGCCATCGTGAGTAAGGGCGGCCTCTTCGACCAACTCATTCTGCTTACCCCCGTCGCGGCGTTCTGGTGACATCTACCCCCAGGAGTTCTTGGGTACAGCTTCTGACCCAGCAGGCTGTGGACTCTCCCGCAGCACGCATCACGCAACTCTCTAGGAGCAGGAACGCGCGGGGAGGACATCAATGGGTGGTGCCGCACGCTGTCATGCCAACGCGGGCGGCTCTCTTCAGGGACGAGCCGTTCTGCGCCCAAGGGTTTTGCTGCAGGCACTCGATTCAGAACGGCAGGGTGTCTGCGGGTCAATTTGAGTACGTCCTGCTTCTCTCAGTTTCCGCTATGTGCCATGGCGGGGGCAACGGATCGTGGTGTGGCTCCTCGTCGCAGCCTCCCTGGACAGCAGCCTGCCCATGGCGCTCTTCACGGTATTTCCAGCATCAGCAGGGGCGGGACGCAGGATGTGGAGCGTCGCAAGGTAAGTGGAAGTGCATCTCGTGTGGCTGCGGCAAGAACAGCAACACGAGTAATGTCTGCAAGCGTTGCGACTCGACACGTTCGCTACCGCTCCCCATGCCCAAGCCACAGCCACGCGGGGTATGGAGTCATCAGCGTGGCAGTCCCCTCGCTCCTGGTCCTCAGGCTCCTCCTGGTCGCTGGCAGCGTCATGCGTTCCAGCCAGAGATTCAGCTTCCAGGGCAAGGCGGAGGCGGAGTGGCTACCTGCACCGAGGGCCCCCTGGGCTCGAAGGATCTGCAGTTGGTCATCGCCGTCGCCAAGAAAGAGGGAGACACTGACACAGTCGAGCGCTACCAGGCCACGCTCGATGCCATGGTCGCCTCCGTGCCGAAGGTCGAGCCCAAGGCACTGCAGGAGGAGGTCAAAGATCTACACCGGCAGCTCGGCGTGCTCGACAAGCGCATGGAGGTGGAGCTCAACAAATATCTCAAATTGAAGGAGAGCCTCGGTCGGCAGGAAGTGTTTCTTGCCGACAGCACAAAGCCATGCAGCAACGGCACACGGAGTTGGTTCAGCGTTTACATTCTCTCGTGGTCGAGGCCGTGCCGCCCGAGCCCACAGGTGATTCTGCTGGGCCCGCACTGTGCTAAAGGAGCTTGGAAGGCAAGGTCAACAACATCACCATCGACGATGGCGGATTGTCCATAGAGGACCTCGTCGGTGATGGGCTTGGCCCGCAGGATTTGGAGGAAGCCAGTCGCCGCCGCCAGCAGTTCAAATAATCTGTTTCCGAGACGGCCAAGACCCTTTTCGAGTCCGCCATGGAGAAGGCAGATGCGGTTCGCGCAGAGCATGCTGCTTACCTGGCGAGGCTCCAGTCCAAGCGCCGTCGCGGCAACGACGGCGAGGCCACCTCGACAGCAGCGCCGGCAGTGGGGGCCTCGGGTGCGGCTCTTCAGCGGCGCCTTCGCCAGACGGCGACGCCCGCGGCTCAGGTAGCTCGCAGGCCCCTCCTGGTGGGTCGCAGGGTCTCTCGCAGCCCGCGGTCCAGCGAGCGCGCCGGGAGGTCGGGCGCGTCGCGGCCATGGTCGACAGGCGGGCTGCTGAGTCGCTTGCTGGTGAGCCAAGTGACCGTGATCAGAATGGGCACCCCCCCGCGGGCTCAGCCTGGCGGTGGGGCAATCTTCAATTTTTCAACAAGCTCGACGTTCGTGACCAGAGGGCCTTCGTGGGAGGTCCTTTCTCTCTCTCTCTCTCGCTCTCTCTCTCTCTCTCTCTTTCTCTCTCTCTCTCTCTCCCTCTCTCTCTCTCTATTTCCCCCTCCTCCGCCATCTGTCTCTGCTTGTCGCCCTTCCGTGACCGCGGTGAATGGCAACGGTTGGAAGTCAGTGAAGGATTGGCTGCCTCTTGTCAATTCGCCCGTTGTGCTCGCTCAGGAGCACGAGCTGGTGACTGTGGGAGCCATTTCCCGTGCTGGTCAGACTTGCCTCTCCCTGGGCTGGAAATCCTTCTGGGCCCTGGCCGCGACGGGCCCTGAGTGAAGCCCATCCGCCGGAGTTTCTATTTTGCGTCGCTCGTCTCTGGGGTTGCGCGCCCCAGAGGAAGGACATGCGGCGTTTCCTCATCGCGCGATGTCGCGCCTCATTCGCCCCCACCCCCCCCCCTTTCCCCCCCCCCCAGGGCGACATTTGCCAGTTTTGTTCGGTGTATCTCTGGGTCTCAGAGGGTCTCTCAGGTGGGGACTTTGATATTCTGGCGGCCGCGGGGGCTCTGGGGGCCACGCGTGGGAGGCCTTTTATTTGGGGGGGGAGTGGGGCCTGGAACTTGGAATCCGTTGCCCCTCTGGTCTGAGGCGGTTGCAAAGGAGGGGGGGCAGAGGACAGAGCGTTTACACTGCTTGGAGGAATAAGGGAATTCAGCACGGGTCGGGCATGAAACGCCTCGAAGAAGGCGCGCGCGCCCGAATCGCAAGCGCGTGGCTCTATGCGGGCCCAGGACAGTTTGCTTCCCGTCGTCGTCCTCGCCCTCGCTCCGTTCCCTACCCTTTCTCCCCCCCCCTGGATGACGTCGAAAGCGCCCGCGGCTCGGGCGGGGGGGCGCCCCTACCCTATCTCCCTCATTATTCCTCGTTCCTCTTTGCTTCCCTGCCCCACCGTCCGTCGTCTCGCCTCGCCTTCCATCCGCGTTCGAGAAGGGGGGCCCCTGGCGCCGCGCGCCCGCGTCAGCGGTGCACCGCCTTTTCGATGCCCGAGCGCAGCGGAGCAACCAAACAGAGGCGATTGACCGCGCGAGCGCCCGGGGCGCGATCCAAACGCGGGCGGCGCGGCTGCCGAGCACACTCGCATCGCTAACATGTAAGATATAGCTGCCCGCGGCAAGGTCCGCCCCTTTACCGGGGCAGCGGTCTGCATGGCGACGCGCGGGGCCTTGACTGTTAGGGGGCCCATGGCATGCGGCACCTTTTGTGTGATTCGGACTGTTGCGCGGCATTCTCTGGGGTCGTTCGAGGTCTTCTCGGGGCGTTTTCGGGCCGTTGGGGGCCGCCTTGGCGCCGCGTTTCTCCGCGGCCGCCCTGGGCCAGGGAAGCGCGCATGCGCGGCTCCCTCGGGGGCGCCCTGGGCCGGAGAAGTGTGCATTTGCACCCCCGTCTCAGCTGGGCATGTTGACTTCGGTTCTGTGTTGGCAAAGTTGGAGCACTCTCGAGGTGGCGAGCGTTCGCCTTTCCGAAATGCACAGATCAAGGTGCGTCTCCAACTGTGCATCTGTCGCGCGCCGCTCGGTGGAGCGGTCGCTGGGCGGGAGTTTCCGCGGGCCCCCCAGCTGGTCCAGGAGGGGGCAGTGGTCTGGGCGCGCAAGGGCGCGGGGGGCGGGGGCGGTGGGCTGCGGGGCGGAAGGGGTTCGATAGGAGGGGTTCCACTGAGAGACCTGCCCCCTTGGGGGACATCCGTGTGAAAATTTTGAAGCGTGCCAAAACACCATTCTCAGGATTTCCACGCCACGAGTTAGCCTGACTATTGCGACTTGGCGATCTTGAATCGTGCCAGAACGCTGTTCCTGGGACTTCAACACCGCGAATCAACGCAACTGTTGCGCCCTGACAATCATGAACCTTTCCTGAACACCGTTTCTGGTATGTAAGCCATGTCGAAAACCACCCGCCCTCCATTTGTGAAACGGTTGCCAACTTTTATGCTTCGGGGTCAGAAATGGTGAGGAAGTCTCAGACGAACGCCTGGCCCGCCCTTTCAACTGGCTTCGGGGTGTGACAGAGAGGAGGTATTTTGGAGGATACGAAACTAGACGAATTGAAGGAGGTAGTGGAGGAGGAGGAGGAGGAGGAGGAGGAGGAGGAGGACGAGGAGCAAGAGCAAGAGCAGGAGGAGGAGGAGGAGAGGAGGAGGAGGAGAGGAGGAGGAAGAGGGGAGGGGGAGGGGGAGGGGGAGGAGGAGGAGGAGGGAGGAGGAGGAGGAGGAGGAGGAGGAGGAGGAGGAGGAGGAGGAGGAGGGGAAGGAGGACGCAGGCACCGACGCTTCCCGTAGGGATGAGGGGGAAGAGGAGGAGGAGGCGGAGGAGGAGGAGGAGGAGGACGAAGAGCAGAAGGGGGCACACTGGGTCTGGAGGGGCGGCAGGAGGGCCGGGCGCAGCAGGCAGAGAACGGGCGCGGGCCGGAGCGGCGGGAGAGTTCGGCCATGGAGTGGTCGGAGCGGCGGGAGACCGGCGGAGCGGCGGGCGCCAGACGATCGGCCGCGGAGGTCTACCCCACTGTGCAGGAGGCCCGCGACCTCGCAGACCGGAGGAAGAGGGACGCGGCCTCGACCGGAGGGCGCGCCGCGGGCGGCCCCGCTCTCTCGGGCCTCCCTGATGGGGCCAGGGCGGGATGATGATGCTGATGATGATGATGATGATCATCACCATCAGCATGCTAATGTGAATGATCATGCTGGTGGAAATGGTGGTGATGGTGATGGTGATGATGACGATGATGATGGTACTGATGATGATGGTGGTGATGCGACGATGATGATGATGATGACGATCAATGATGGCGATGATGATAATGCTGGTGCTGCGGATGGTGATTATGATGATGATGCTGATGTTGCTGCTGATGATGATGATGATGATGATGATGATACTTGCGATGATGATGGTGATGACGACGATGGTGATGATGCTGATGCCGATGCTGCTGCTGATTGTGATGCTGATGTCTCATGATGAATGATGATGCTGATGATGATGAAACTGATGATGATGCTGATGCTGATGATGCTACCCATGATGAGGATACTGATGATGATGGTGATGGTGATGATGATGGTGATGGTGACGAGGATGAGGACGATTATCATGATGATGCTGATGCTGATGCTGATGATGATCATGGTGATGATGACTCTGGCGGTGATGATGATGATGATGATGAAGCTGATGGCGATGATAATGCTGATGATGCTGATGATGATGTCGATGACGATGACGATGATGATGTGGATGATCATGATGATGATGATGATGATGATGATGATGCTGACGATGATGATGACGGTGATGAGGATGAGGATGAGGATCAATGGTGACGATCATGATGATGATAGTGTTGTTGCTGATGATTCTGATGATGATTGTGCTGCTGCTGATGATGATGACGATGATGACGATCATCATCATCATACTGTAGATTATCATACTGGTGGTGGTGATGGTGATGATGATGATGATGCTGCTGATACTGATGATGATGATGATGATGAGACGAGGATGATGACCATCAATGCTGACGATCATGATGATGATACTGCTGCTGCTGCTGCTGCAGATGATGATGATGATGATGATGATGATGATGCTGTTGATTATGATGGCACTTACGATGGTGATGGTGATGACGACGACGACGATGATGATGAGGCTGATGCTGATGCTGATGGTGATGATTATGATGCGATGATCATGATGGTGTCTGTTGGTGGTTGGTCATTATGATGTTGGTTATACTGATGATGATGCTGATGATGGTGGTGGTGGTGATGATGATGCTGACGATGCTGATGACGATGATGATGATGCTGATGCTGATCATGATGATGGTGGTGGTGGTGGTGATTGTGATGATGACGATGATGATGATGATGATGATGATGATGATTCTGATGATGATGATTATGATGATGGTGGTAGTGATTATGATGATGATGGCGGTTATGGTGGTGATGCTGATGTTTATATTGATGTTGATGTTGATGTTTATATTGATGTTGATGTTGATGTTGATGTTGATGTTGATGTTGATGATGATGATGATGATGATGATGATGATGGTGGTGGTGGTGGTGGTGGTGGTGATGATGATGATGATGATGATGAGGAGGAGGAGGAGGAGGAGGAGGAGGAGGAGGAGAGGAGAGAATCGGGATCGACCGTGAAGTCCCGCACCCTTCTGATGCCTGCTGGTCCGCCTTATTCCTTGTCCTTTTCGGCAACCAGGAGGCAGAGGAGTAGGCGGACGAGGAGAAGCCGGAGGAGGCGGAGGAGGACGACGAGGAGGAGGGGGAGGTTGAGGAGGAGGAGGAAGAGGAGGAGGCGGAGGGGGAGGAGATGGGGAGAGGCCCCAGGCGCCCTAAACCCATCGGGGCGCGACCAGCTCGTTCGAGTCTGGGCCACTGGAGGCCCGCTTCGGACTCTGGGGGGCCCACGGACGACGGCCCACGGGCGCGAGGTCCTCGCGTGTGGGTGCTGGCGCAGCGAGCTCACGAGGTCCCTGTGTTGAAGACAGTCAGGCTCGTGAGTTTCCAACAGGGAGCTCACGAGCTCCCCGTGGGTTCTGAGCTTTCTCCTGCTGGTGCTGCTCGCCCCGCTCCTTCGCGCCTCCTCGTTCTCCTCGTCCTTCCTGTCCTTCGACGGCCCCATGCGGGGCCGCGTCCACGGCCCTGGAGCGTAGAGCATGGCATGTGCACTTTCTTCCGAGTGGAGGTTCTCAGCGCCAACAGCCTTCAGTGAGTATTGTGAAATATACAGGACCACTGCTGCGCGGTTTCACTGGACACTCGGATCATCTTGAGTCAATGGTGTGCGTATCGGGCCGTACGCATTGCCCTCCTCCCATTCCTCCGCGGCGGACGTTGTGACAACGAGGGTGCTTGCTGGCATTGCAGTGCGCATGAACAGTGGGCGTGTTCGCAGACCGTGCCTTGGAGTCGCTGAACTTGATTGGACGTTTCGGTCAGCGTGCATACGCCCTGCTCTTCCTCCATCCATCCTGGCTTCCATCGCATTGCCTCTTGTCAGATCGATTCACGCGTTTTTTCTAGCCAGAGCGGTTGTCGAAGACGCAGGCCGCGAGTCACCGCCGCCCCCCTTTGGCAGTGCCCGCGTCGTGAAATGTCGAGCGAAAGTGCGGCATTTCTAGTGAATCGCTTGTTCCCCCTCCTGTTGGAGATCTGCTATACGTAAGAGTTGCCTTTCGCCGGAGTGACCTTTGGTGTGGGTGCACTGGGGTCCCCAGATGAGTGCGATGCGATATCAGCGGCTTGCGCGCTCCGGTTCGGCCTCCCCGCGGCCCCCGGAAAATCGCGTACCAAAGGTCTTTCTTGCCCAGGATCTTTCTTACGTATAGCCGAGGAGAAGCCACTAGGGGAACACCGAGGAGGGGCCGTCCTGGGGCGTCCTGGGCCACTCTTGGCCTTGGCCTGTCTTCGGGCTGCCTGCCGGTGCTGACTGGACGGCTCCCCCTCCTCCCTCCCCCCCTCTCCAGCCGCCGTCCCGGCTTAGGGGCCCCGGGTGCAGCTACCCAGTAGCTGTGCGCCCCTCGGGACATCGGCAACGCGCAAGCCCGCAGCCGCCGCCATTGGCCGCGGGCCAGCCGTGGCCTGCCTTGCCGCGGCGCGCCAGGACGTGCAGGCGGCCATCCTGGTGCTGGCCAGCGCCCAGCGGCGTTGGGTTGGCTCTCTCGCTCGCCGCGGCGCGCCTCGCGGCGCACTGCGGCAGGATTCGGGCCCAACGTCCACCCGAGCCCGCTTGGCACAGGCGCGCCAGGGCAGCGCGCAGCCAGGCACGGACCTTGCTGCGCGCCCAGGCGACGCAGACGCTTTTGCTCCAGCACCACAGTGCGCCCAGCAGCATGAGCAGTATGGAGGCCCCATGGAGATCCACAGCCCCCAGCACGTGGCAATGTAGCGCGTGCGCCACGGCAAATTGGCAGGGTTCTCGATGGTGCTCGCAATGCTTTCCGCCACCACAGGGGGGATGCAGCAGATCCACGAGACCACGCCAGTCGGCAGCTGCTTCGAGCCGCAGGCAATCCTCCCCCGCCACGCCTTCCCAGTCTGGTCCTTCCGCCGCGGGGAGTTCGGGTCCACGCATTCCTTCGGAGCAGCCGCCAGCAGCACAACAGCAGATGTCGGCATCGGCCATGAATGCTACGCTTGGGTTGCTCCCAGCCACGCCCGAGGCTGCCAGGAGACACTCATGTTGGGTCGATACTCCGTGCGGACACAAGGATCTGACGGCCTACAGGGCGCAGAGATCAAAGCCACGCTATCAGCATTGGAGGCTCAGCTCGCGAGCAAGAAAGCTTTGGCTGCGTCCCCAGAGATGCTACAGCCACTCGAGAAGGAATGCAGCGTGTACATGTACATGCACATCTACGCCTACGCGCCACGGGATCGTGTGGCCAATCAGGAGAAGTACCTAGAGCGAACGCAGAAGCGCAGGGGGCCCGCGCCAGCCCGCTCCCCGAGGGGGCCCCAGGGGGAGGAGGGACGCCAAGTAGGACGAAAGGGACCCCGCCGAGCCAGGGGGGCCTGGCAACGGGGGGCATCCCGAGCCCGCCCCACCGAATGCCCCACCCCACCATAGGGGAGGGGACCCCAGGGGGCCTGGGCGCCCAAGTCCCCCCGCTATTCCTGCGTTTGGTCGCCGGTTCTAGTTGTGCCCCGCCGATGCGGGCGGCGCCGACCACTTTGGGTTCCCCGGCTATCCTGGCGCGCTCACGGGCCCCCCAGCTTATGGGGAAAGGGTAGAAGCGCCTCATGGAGGCAAAGGCGGCGGAGGAGGAGGCCAGGATCGCTCTTGCACGTGCAGCCTCGTCCAAAGCGGCATACCAGCGAGATGCCGAGCATGCGCAGCTGCCCCTTGCCCACTTCAAGCAGCTGCAGGCACAGGAGGAACAGGCAGCAGAGCTAGCAGCGGCCGCGGCGGTAGCAGCAGCTCAAAAGATGACGCCAGGACCTCCCTCTTCACCAGGCACAGTTTGCAGCGTTCGCTTCTAGGGTCCAGCTTCGTCGGCAGCAGCAGCAGGAGCAATGGCAGCGCTGTCTGGGTCAGCAGTGCGCAGTACCGAAACTGAAGCTTGAACCCAACTGTGGTGTGAGGCTCAAGGTGAGGAGGCAGCAGCAGCAGCAGCAGCAGACTCAGATGATGGAGATGTCGGTGTCATGGCGCTGCGTGCGCGCACCAGCTCCGCCATCTTACGCCGCGCGTCAGCGGGCTCTGCCGCCTGGCGCACATGTCAGGTCCGGCGGAGCCTTCGAAACAGGGCTGGGAGGGACTATGTCCCTAGGGTGGGCCAGCTTGACCCCAAGGAGCTTGCGGGGGGCGAGAGAATGACAAAAGCCCCCGCATCCTGGGGTTCTAGAAAGCCATTCGTTTACGATAAAGCCAAGCAGCTAAACTGTCTGGGTCAGCAGTGCGCACTACCGAAACTGAAACTTGAGCCCAAGTGCGGCGCGAGGCTCAAGGTGAGGAGGCAGCAGCAGCAGACTCAGATGATGAAGATGTCGATGTCGTGGCGCTGCGCGTGCGCACCAGCTCCCCCGCTCCCCC